AAGGGAAAGACTTCTCCTATGAAAAGCCTCAGATGCTGGATGTGGTGCCTGGGCTTCCATCAGTGCCCATCCTTGTCTCACAGAGTGGCTCGTGGGCCTGATCTTTCACGTGGTCCTTCTGGCTGGGTTTGTTTGAAATGTCCTCACTGCTGGCTGTGTGCTGAAAGAATTGCTTTCTGGCTGTCTGAGAGGGAAAAGAGCGGGGGAGGAACAAGCTGGGCACTCTTCTGCCCCTGCCAGCTCATGAGTCTTGTTCTCACACTGTAGTACCGAGCTATGCCCTATGGCCTTGTTGTCTCTTTTGCTCGTGAAGCAGTGAATCCAACCTCCTGCTTTGTCCTTTGCCTGACAGACCAGTGCTGGAGGCAGCAGAGATGCCTTTGGGCTTGGAAAGACAACACTGCAGTGATCATTCATCTTTCCCTTTGCCGTCGCTGCCGGTGGTGACAGAAATGAAGCTCTGCCTCCTGTGCCCCTCATTCTCCTACTGCTCCTGCCCCCTGGGCTGATTCCTTCCCCTTCCTCCTTTCGGCAAGCATTGGCCTCTTGCAACGAGGCAGGCACAGAGCTAAAATTGTCAAGGGGCAGATAAAAGCTGGGAGATCATAATTTTTTCTTTTCAGACGAGATAATTAGGAGTAGAATCTCTGCGAGGAAGTAGATCTTTCCATCATCATTGCTTTATCTCCAGGCAGCTACTCTAATCTCTCCAGGGACACGGCTCTTTCAAACATCGTATTCTTGCTCTGTTTTTTTTAATGCTTTAATCCCTGCGTAGTTCACCCACTTTTACTACCAAGCAGCAAGTCAGTGCGAGCTGGTGTGTTTGTGTGCCTATGCCCCTATGCGTGGGGCAGGAGGGCAGCATGGTGCCTGCGCAGTTCTGGGTTCAACTAAATGTGCTTTGGTTCTGATCAATGTGACCTCAGGGAGTGTTTCCCTCAGGGAATGCTGGGGCTGGTTTTGATGATTGTTCATCAGCAGCTCCTAGGTGAGAAGCTAAGGGAAAATGGCCAACCCCAGAACTCAAAGATAGGAACAATGTGGGTTATGTCATTGTGGTGGGTGATACGGTCAGGCTGCAAGGTAGAGATGCCTCCTGAGGAAGGAGAGCATCCTGCTGGCTTGTCTCTATCTACTGTGGCTTAGCAAAATGTGAGCAGTTGGTTTCTGCACCCTCAAGGGCAGGCTGCCTCTATACAACACTGCTAGCCAGTCAGTCTTATTGGGCCAACACAGGTAACAGGTACTGGTCTTTAGTTTCCATACCAAGCAACCAGGTGCCCTACTGTAGGTGAAAGCAAGTCCAGAGCAAGGGTCCAATTCACCCCTCTGGATCTGTAAGGAGCTGGAATCATTGCTGTGCTCTGGCTGGTCCTTCCTTCTTTGCCACTAATCACAGATGGTAACTCTTTCAGCCCTTTGTACTTCACTGTAGCTGCTGCAAGCATTAAGCATTAAAACAGCCATTTGCCTTCTGACGTGAGGGTGCATTGTACTCCTTAGCTGAGCACAGAAATGCAAGCACCAACTGCAAAATACACACACATATATATAACATATATATTGCCTCATGCTTTCTTTTAGCCATCTTCATTGACCAGACAGCAGGCTGACTCTTCATCAGGTGAAGGCGCCTCTCTTCTCCTTTTCTTTCTTCTCTTTCCTCTCTTTCTTTCTTTTTTTTTTCTTTCTTTTCTTTATCTTCTTTCTTTTCTTACCTGCTTCAGGCTATGTTTTGGGACTTCCCCATCATCCCCATGGGCACAGGCCCTGCTTTCTGTGATAAAGCAGGGGGCTGGTGATTGCTGTCCAGCCTGTCAGACACAGCCCAGGGACTGGGCACTGCTCCACGCCACCTTGGGTACTATCAGAGGGCCCAGGCTGGGGACTTGGGACACACTGAGGTCTGCCCTGCAGCTGTCCTGGGGTGGTATAGATGCAGCTCTCTGGAGGCAGGAGGAGCACTCAGGAGGCCCTGTGGAGATGCTGAAGCCACATTTCACGGGCATCAGAGCCCCGCCATGTTGTGTTGAGCTGAGGGAAAGCAGAGATGGGGATGCTGCTGATCAGGAATTGGAGGCAGACAAAAGCAGCTCAACCCTCTGCTCCAGAGGATGTGGCAACCTGCTCTGGGACAGCTGGATCCCTTGATCTGCTGGGAAATGCAGTACCTCTCATATGATCCCGCAGCTACTACCTCTAGTAACGACAGCTACTGCTAGTAAGGTCTGTTGCCTCATTACTAAAAGCCGTGTGGGGGCTGTTCCTGTGCCAGATGCTCTGGAATCATGGCGCATTCCCTGTGCAAATGCTGCACGAGTCTTAATGAGCCTTCCTGGCTCTGGGAGGGAGCAGAGGAGGCTCCCAGCAGGACAGAGAAGCGCAAGGATGCAATTAAGGCAGCGCCCCATCGCTAGGGCAGAGCGGGTAATGGGGACTTCGGAAGTCACCTCCCAGGGACAAGCATGGGCTGGCTTGACCTCATTTGAGGGACCAGGAGGCTGACACACTGCAGGGAGTTGTGACGTGAACCCAAAGCTCAGGTTGCAGGTGTTGGGGAGCACAGGAGCTTCCCAAAGCCCACTCCAATGCAGGGAGGTCCCAGGACTGTCCATGTCCCTGGGAAGGCAGAGCCTGCATGGCTGGTGGTGCCCTCTGGAAATATGGGCAGGGGCTGGAGGGGTTCAGGAATTTCAGCACTTTAGTTAATAGTCATCAGGCCTGAAGGTTTCCCATTGCCATGTTTGATTTGGTCTTCTTTGCTGCTGGACAAAACCCTTGGGGGATGTGTGGGGGGTATGTTTGAGTCTGGCTAAGCCCTTGGCTTGCAGAAAGCCCTGCAGCTGTGAGTCCTGCAGATTAGGAAGGGAAATGGCAGTCCCTCTCCACTCCTCGAAGCACGTTAACAGCCCCTGGGTAGGAAGATAGAGGAGGGCACACAGGTGGTATCCATCGCACCAACCTGTCTCCCACACCATCTCCTCTTGTGACAGCTGAACTGCTGAACTGCCTCAGCCCAACACTGCCCCTGCCTCTGCATTGCCCACGTCGAGTTCCTTCTTCCCCCCCATTCTGGATATCCAAACACAACACAGCAACCCAGCTGAAGCACCTACCACAACCACAAAACCTTCTTCACACCGTTGTTAAAAATTCCCCTCTATACCCAGCCTCCAAAGGGTGATTTTGTTGAGTGCAACGCATTGTTTTCAAGGCAGCTGCCCTTAGAGAGATGTGGGGCTTCTCCTGAGTGCTCCTGCTTAATTTAGAAGCAAGCAATATGTGTAAGTCATTGTAATTACTCCTTCCAGCCAGCAATGCCATTGATTTGTCATCTCCTCTACCTTTTAAGCCCTGTTGCAGGTTTGCTGCTCTTGCAAGGCTCAGCTTACTGAAAAGAAATGATCTCAATCTTGCTCTCCTCCTCCTGAGATGGGTGAGAAGCAGACGTTGCTTCCTGCAGAGAGCCAGGGCAGGATGGAAATCAAATATTTATTCCTGCTCTTGATTTTGTGTTTCCCAACCAGTTTCTAATCTCTCCAAAATGCGTTTGTTTCCTGAAGAGCCTTATGCAGAGGCATTTGCTGGAAGCTTTTAAAAGGTCTGGGAAAATTCTATCAAGTTTTCCTGTATGTCCCCCGGTTTGCCCAACTGGCTGTGAACCTCTGTGGGAGAGGAGGTTTCCCTACAGAAGCTGTTCTACCAGGCTCCCCCATTTCTCCTGTTCCAGAAGTGACAGATCCACATGTCTCAGGTACATGGCTGGGGCTGGGATCATGCCAGCACCACTTGGCAGGGACAAAGAGGGCAGCACAGAAGGCCCTGCTCAAGCATCTCCTGGTGTCCCCTTTTTTCTGCTTTTCTGAAGAGCATTTACACACAGTTTCAGCACAGGCTGGGTTTCTGGACTGTGGAGGAGACAAGATTTATGCCAATAGCCTACATCAGTGGCCAGGCTGTTTCCATCCCTGTTCATCCTCGTGCATCTCTCCTGCCTTGGCCAGCAGCCCCAAGAGCCCTCTCTCAGGGCTTCTGCAGTTTTAATAGGAGAATTTTCCAGACCAGTCCTCCCATTTCGCCTCCTCCTAAGTTTGTGACCCCAACAATGTTTCTTGACATTTTCTCCTCTAAAAAGTGTTGCCTTTCCTAATTATGCTGCTGTTATTTGGGAGCACAAGCAGATATCTGTCACCTGTTGAACCCCCTCCTCTTAGTGATGTGGGGGTGAGCCTCCAGCTCAGCAAAGCCCTTGAGCCTATGCTCCAGCTGAAGTACATACTTTTTCTTCAAAACAAACCCTCAACTTTGTGGACATGTGGTGAAGGTGAGAGCACCAGACTTTGTTTTATGGCATTAAATACCCTCCAGAAGAAGTGGGAGCTGGTGGGGTCGGTTTTGGCTCAGGGCCTTAGGGAAAAGCGAGTCCTCTGGCTTTGTGCTTTTTTTTCCCAGAATACAGGTGAGATTGTGCTTTTCCTAGGAGGGGCAGGACCTACTGAAGGGCAAAAGCACCATTCAGACCTGGTCACGAGCTGCTCTACAATAGGAGCTCCAAGGGCCGTGCCTGAACCATCTTGTGCTTAGCTAGGTCAGAAACTCATTACTAGTACTTAATTAGATTTATACTTGACATGAGCTCCTTGACACCATGTTCTGACCTAGAGGCCATGATTTCTCACTGGTTTCTGCTTCCTGTTGTTGGGATGGAGGTTCCTCCTCTGTGGAGAGATGCTTCCCCCAAACCTCCTCCCACACCAGCAGCAGCCTGTACCCCATGCTGCTCTGCAGTGTGGTAGATGAGAAGTACCCAAACTGTGACACCACCTCCCTGCCCCTCTGGAGCAATGATACCAGACCTTGCAATGATATTTCTGTATTGCCAGCAATGGGCCCGGCCATCTCCTTTCAGGGATGCAACCCTAAGCATCCCAGGGAAGGACACGTTGGCTTGGGCTGGTCAGTCCCCTCTGTCCCCGCAGCGACCTCGCACCCCACGGGAGGCTCGAACAGAAAACATCACGTTTATTTGTTCACGATCAGCTTTACAAAAGAAATGTCCCACCACAGGTGCGCGTCAGGGGCCCCTGTCACGAACGTGCATTAGAGAAAGCGCGCAAGCGAGCGAGGAAGAGGGGCAGCTCGTCAGGGTGCACAAAGGTCACAGTGTTCCCACTTGGCACAAAGGCTGCACCCCATCCCTGCCACGTCCTCCCCAGCAGGCTGAGCCACCCCAGCGCTGGCAGAGACCCTGCGTGGGGGGGATGCTGGGTGGCAGGGCTGTCCCTCCTGCCAGCTTCGCCTCCCCCAGGGGTGGGGGCGGCTGTCGCCCAAAGTACAAAGTGGGACTTGGGGTAAGGGGGAGCACTGGAAGCTGGACACTGCACTGAGCAACCATGAGAGCCCTGAAATAACCCTCCCACCCCACCCCAGACACACACACGTGCACATACATACACGCACATATTGAAATGTTGGCGACCACGCTGCATGGAAACAGTATTCTCAGGCACTCCACAGGGGAAACACCAGCCCACCCCATCACCCTCCCAGTTCCAAGGCCAGTGGCAGCCCTGTTCCTGGCCAGGAGCAGCTAAAGGAGGGGACCTGGGTGGAACCAAGGGCAGCAACCTGATCCGGTAACCAAAAGACTGGGGGATGGGTGGCAGGGCTCCTCTGACCACCACCATCCTCCATCTCTCCATCTCCTTTTTCCTTGCTTTCACTCCCTTTGATGGCAGTGCTGCACTCCTTCCCCCTCGGCCAGCGCTGGAGGACATGCTTTGCCCCATTTCCCCCATTCCCTTGGTGGCCGACCAACCACCCAACTGGAAGAGAGTGGGGAGTGCTCTTTTCCAACTGCCTCAAAAGCCTGGCTCTCCTCAGGCAGCCCTGCCCGAACAGGCAGCAGAGGCAGGGAAAGGGGTACAGAATGGTGAGTACTGCCCCACTGGTTCCCTGCCATTCTCCCTTGGCTTCCCTGGGGTGATGCTTGAAAAACCAGGGCAGCAGAAGAGGGGATGGAACTGGAGGGGAGATCCTAGAATGCGGGCTCGTAAAACCAGACAGTGGGGTTGCTAGAAATAAATAAGGAAAGGGGATGTATTCAGGGGGTGCCTGCACCCTGGCATCCCACTGCGGCTGGACTGCACTTGGGATAGACAGAGTTCTCCTTCCCATTCCCTGTTGGGGCTGACAAGGTGAGGACCCTCGCTGTACCAGGGACACCTGCAGGTACAGCAAGGTCCACTCAAAACAGAAGTAGGGCAAGATGAGACCCAGGAGCAGACTTGTGCCAGGGGTGGGGACAAGCCACACCACCAGCACAGGGGCAACAGGGAGGCTTCCAGGGTCCCCTCTCCCTCCTGGGACACCAGTGCCAGGGCTCAAGCATCGCCCTGGCAAGGCTTACTGGTCTGGGAGGGGAGAAAGGGGCTCCCTGCTTTGGGGCTGCCATTGGGTTCCTTGGTGCTGGGGAGAGGGCTCGGCGCCACTCATGCCTTCCTCCCTTCCTCACACGCAGCAAAGCCTGCCTTGCTGGCACCTCCAAAGACCTCCACCGCCTGGTCGTCCCACTGAATCACATTCCCTTGGAGGTGAGAGGTGCAGTTGGCCAAACCCAGGATCTCCGCTGGTGCCAGCATGTGGTCCCACACGCTGAACTGCGCCAGCTCCCCCACGAAAGCCTGCGTGGCATCAAAGCGGCCCCCCAGAGTGTCCTGGGAAAGAGCAGGAGAGGTGATCGGACAGGGATGAGCAGAAGAGGAGGAACATGCACCCAGTGGGCAAAAAAGGCAAGGGGGAGAGGGAAAAGTTTGGGGAGAAGCAGAGCTTGATGCTTGGTGGCAAGCAGGGGAGGGGATGGACGTGTAGAGGAGATGAAAGAAGATAAGACAGGAGCAAGTGGAGGCCAGAGGAATAGGGAGAGGGAAGAGGAGACAATGAGTGCACGTGGCCAGGCTGGAGGTCAGATGAGCAGGCAGGAGAGCCAACATGCCATGCTGAGTGCTCGTGCCCACACCACCCCCTGCCTTTGCCCCATTTGGGGGCTTTTCCCCCCAGCCAGCTTCCCACCAGAGCAATGCTAACTGGCAGTTCTCAGTGTTGAGCTGGTACATACCTGCTCCTGGCCCAGGATGATGACGCCCTGGGGCTTGATGGCATGCCAGGAGGCCAGGTTCTCACCAGTGCCCCGCTGTTCACCATCCTGGTATGCTGACCACTTGCCGTCCCGGGTGGTCCACGCCACGCAGATGTGGTGCCAGGCCTTGTCCTTCAGGCTCAGCGGCAGCTGGGCAACCTTCCGGGGAAGAGCAAGAGCCCAGGGCTCAGTGGAACTGCTGGGAGACCCTGGTGGCTCCCCAGCCCCTCGCAAAGCAAGTGGTGCACTCCCATGGTGGTGACAACCCAAAATCTACAGACCTCCCACTGTGCTGCTTCTGCCTCTCAAAACCCACCTCAGTGAGCCATCCTCCCCACCCTCCTCCCTCTCCCCATAAGCCTGGGCCCCTTCCTCCCAGCTCCCCCATACCAGTGTGGGTTGAAACAGGGAACATGAGGGCAGGGACTTTTCTCCCGCTCCTCCTGCAACTAGGCTGACCTTGTCATTGATGAGCAGCTCCAGGGGGTTAGTGCCCCACTCCAACAGCACAATCTCATTGGCTTGGCTTGGGACAGAGTAGGAGAAAGGGGTGCCGAGCCCTGCCAGGGCCTTGGACTTCAGCCACATGCAGATGGTGAAGGCGTAGAGCTCCGGCAAGCTCTTCTTCATGCGGGCATACATGTAGTTGTTCTGCACCGGGATGGTCACCTTGAAGGCATCAGGAGGGCTGTAACCCAGCGGTCCTACGTGCCAAGGATGGGGAGGAGAGAGAAGGGTCAGCACCTGTAGAGGGTGACCTGTGCTGGGGTTCTCCTGGTGATACACCTTGGGCTAGGGACCCCCTTGCCCCACCTCCATCCCCATCAAACAAGACTCACCATGCTCCAGCTCCGTCACCCGGTTCTGGAGGGAGTTCAGCTCCTTCTCAATGTTGTGCTGCTGCTGGCTGTGGTCAGTGCTTGCAGCCTGGCGCTCCTTCTGCAGGGTCAGGATCTTGGAGAGGAGCTGTTCCTCCAGCTGCTCCATCTTGGTGTGGAGGGCATCGCGAGCAAATGCCGGGGCAGTGGGTGCTGAGCCATTGGCGCGGGCTGGCAGCTCCTGCTGCACTCAGCAGCAGCCACGACAGAGGGGAAAGGAGGGAGAAAAGAGAAAATTCAGGGAGGTGTCACTGTAAGAGGTTAAATAAGGACATGCCCAGCCCCCAGCACTACAGGGAGTGCTGAGATGACAGTCCCATATCCGCACTGGGGTCTCCTCCAAGAGCCTCCAGCTGACTTTGTACCTCCCCTCTCAGAGCTCCCATTGAGATCATTACTGCAAAATGAAGCTTGGCTGCTCTTAATGACTTTCTGCTGCTTCAGAGACAGAGCAAGGATGGGATGTTTGGGTCATCCCTTGGCTCTGCTCCTGCAGGCAGCCTCCCACGATGAAGGAATGATGTGGGAAGGACCTTGGAGCTTCCACCTCTGCTGCTCGTGAGGCTGCTTACCTATGTCCAGCACGTTAACATCACTTAATGGGGCTGTAATCCTCTTAGCTCAGCTCAGCCAGCATGCGGAGGTGTGTGCACGTGCACTGGGTTGGGCAGGTAGCTCTCTGTAAGCCAGCCTCTCCCAGGCCTTGGGGATGCCATGGAGAAGTGGGACCAGTGGCGAGGCTGTTGTGTGTGTCTGTTCTCAAGACATGACCCATCACCTGGGCACATCAAGCGTGTCTTGTCTCATCAGGGTTAACACCCAGACCAAAACTCTTCCCATGGCAATTCTAACATGGCACCTGGTGAATATGCTCTCAGCTGCTGCTGCACTCTGCAAAGACCCCAGATCCTACCTTACCAGAAGACTCTATCCCAGCTGGAAGAAAATCAGGCTGGAAGGGAGAAGGTGACCCTTTGCCATGTTTGCAGGGTTTCTCTGTAAATAGGAGCCCTCTCCTTTCCCCATGTCCTTGGGACATTAGTCTCTCTGCCATGGGTTCAGAAAGATGGTGACCCCCTTCTCTGTGTTTCCAGACCTTCCCAAGGAGCTCCCTTGGGTGCTCCAGCACCGAGAGTTCTGCACAGCTTCTTCAGCCCTGGATATTCATGTGGCTTACGCTGGTGGGACATGGGGGGATGCCATTCCTGTTGGTATGAACAGCCTCCCCATGGCCTCAGAGCTGGCCTGGAGGAAGTCAGCATGCTCAGCTGTGGTTATGGCTTCTAGCTTTTTCTTCTTCCCTACATCCTGCTTTTCCAAACTGGACAGGACCTGATAATCATGCACACAAAGCTGAAGGGGGGATGCCTGCCCATTTCACTGCCAATCTTTGCTATCCATCATGAACAACTGAGGCAAGAGGGAGGCTGGAGGAAAGCCAGGTTTGGCTGGGCAGGATGCAGCCTTGGTGGATGGGAACTGCAGGGGGAGGAAAAGCAAGAGCATGGTGTTGGTGTGAGCACAAACGTACCTGCACTGGGCTGCAATGTACTCAGGCTACAAATAAAAGGGAGGCCGTGATGTCCCAGGGTCTGCAAGAGGTGCCAGCAGGGTCTATTGGGGCAAACCCACAGGTACTGTGAGGAAAACCAATCCGGAGAAGCAAATCCCAGCACGGGAAGAGAGGTTGTGCAGGGGACATCTGTCAGCCCTGACCAAACGCCAGCTCTCGCTGCCAGCTTGCTCCAGCAGCACTAAGGATGCTCTTGCAGAGAGCAGAGCCTCTCTGGGAAGGGAAAGGTGCCTGGCAAAGGGCATCCTACCTTTGGTCTCTGTAAAACAGGGAGGGATTAGCCAATGGGGAAGGGGCTTTAGGTCTTTTGCCTTTTTGTTTTGGAGAAGACTTGGGGATCTGCTGGTGAGGCAGGATGAAAGGCAGGGGAGGGCTGGCAGGAGGGAAGGAAAGGTGAGTGAAATGGTTAATTCTCATCCTCCTGGCAGGGACAGTTCCCACTGGTGGATGCCTGCATTTGTACCCAAGCAGAGCTGGCTGGGTTGGCACAGGTGGGATGGGGTTGCCTTTGCCTCTGTGTCCGCATTGCATGGGCTCCAAGAGCTTTCCTCATCCTTTCAGGCCACCCGGCTACAGCGGAGGCTGGCACGCTCCTGTCTGCCGCACACTTTGATTGCTCGAGCTGCAGGTTTGGAGCCTACGTCCCTGCTTCATGCACGGCTCCATCTGTTAATGACGAAAAAAGAAAAGGCTGGGAGCTTTTGTCACTCTCACTAGCCCCCAGTAGCCTGCCCTACATTATTCAGTAGTGACTGAGTGCTTTTTTTACTTCCCTCTTCCTCCTGCTTTTCTCCCTGCTGCTATTTTCTTCCCTCTGTAACTTTTCTCCCTATGGCCTTTTCACTTATTTGGCTTTGGAGTGTCTCCTCTTGATGCTCCCCTCTGTGCACACACATGCTATTTCTCCCTTCTTGCTCAATTTCTTCCCTTTCCCCTGAGTTTTTGCCCTTTCAGCCCTCTCTCCAGATCTTGCTGGCCACTCCAGCCTGGCAGCCAGTGCATGGACAGACAGATCCACACGGCCAACTGAACCATTGCTGACCCCCTATTCCTTCTGGAAAGGAATGTAGCCAGTACCCTCATCTGGCAGAGTTTCAGGGCCATCCCAGCGGACACCATCCCCATCCCCACAGCCAGATCATGGCTGGACAGTACACTAGACCATTCTACCCCATGCAGCTGAGATGTGCCGGGTGATCCCCCTGGTGCAAAGGTGGGCTGCGTCTCCTAACCATCCTCCTCATCTCCGAGCTGCTGCTCAAGCATCTTTCTTCCAAACCAAATTATTTGTAAAATTATTAATGGTAGATGTGCAGCTGTTATTTACCAGTAGCCTTTGGGGGGAGGAGAGGGGGAGAGCGCCTTCTCCCCGGCTGTTCGGCAGGCGCCCGGCTCCCCATCTGCTGCTGCGCAGGCAGCAGGGGAGTGGGCAGCGGGTGCGGGGGAGGCTCGTTTGATGCTTTTTGGCCACTAGAACGGGCAAAAAAGATTGAAAGATGCCAGGTAATATTAATCACTTTAAATGTCAGCAGCTGCTGGGGGCTGGGGCTGGGGAGGTGGGGTTAGAGGTCTGTGGCAGCCACGTTGGCATGTGCTCGCTGGGGTTGTAGCCCTCAGTCGGCAAATGCACTTTGATTTACATAAGGAGATCAGAGCCTCATTTACTAATGCACCGGCAAATCTGCTGCTCCCCCTCGGCCGCCAGCACACAAGTGCCCACCTTAGCTGCTGGGACAGGGCAGGCAGGACCATGGGATGATGCCTCAGCACATCCCAGGGATCGTGATGGTCACCTGGGTGCACGCACACAGCAGCCCCATTCTGTTCCTTGGACCCAGGAATTCTTCCAGGCTGCACAAAACTCCTCTGTGGCTGCCATCCTGGGATACTCACTGCTGCAGGATGGCACACTTGCTGTACCACTCTTTATTGGACCCTGCCACCTTTTTGGACCCGAGCAAATCCTTGGGGTTCATTAAACCCCAAGAAGGAGTGCATGGGGTAGAAGACAAGCAGGGATGCATCAGCCTCTCCTTCCTCCTAACAAGGGAAGAGCTCACCACTGATCCTGCCCCCCTTAAACCTTGGACTGGGACTATCAGAATTTGGGGTTTTCCATTCCCACACTGCTGGAGATAGAGACAGGAGGAAGGCAGCTAGGTCACTACCATTCCCATTCTCATAGCCAAGGGTTTCCTGCCAGCAGCCAGGTCACCAGCCACACCGGCACAGCCACATGCTGGCTGAGTAGCAAACAGGCTGTTACAGTTCTGCCAGGTCCTCCACAGAGCCCACCAGGCTGTCTCCTATCCTGCTCCATCTCCTGCAAGGGATGATGGGGAGAAAGGGAGCACCTGCATCTCGGCACAGCCTAGAAAGCCAAGGTGATTCCCTCTGTGCTCCGTTTCCATTTGCAGCAATAACTAGAAGCATGGAAAAGGACCATCTGGGCCCCCTGGCTCTGTATTCCAAGATGCACTCAAGCATACAGACATGAGCACATGCTGAGAGAAGGGGGGGACCCTCAAAACCAAGACAAAAAAAGCCTAACTATGCTGCTGTGCATGAGGAAAGGACAATGGATACCTTGTGGTGGGTTGGGAAGAGGTGAGGGAAGAAGTCTCCATGTCAATGTTGTGATGCTGCAAGCCCATCCCTGCTGAAATGGCAGGGGACAAAGAGCAAGACTGTGGGGTCCCTCCCTGCATCCTCCCCTGGAAAATCCTGCTGCCATGCTGACAAAATTAAGAAACAAAAGTCTTAATAGGTTTTTCAGTGCATGAATAAATCTTGTTATGCCCTACAGACGGGGCTGAGAGTGCCTGGATTAGAACAGCAATCTTCTACCTGCCCCCTCCTCTCAGTTCCAACTCCAAAGCCTCCAGCAGTAATCCCTGCTGGCAAACCTACCTGGAGATGCCTTGGGATGCAGCCTTCCCAAGGCAGCACATGGCATTTTGTGTCATCCCTCTCCTGAGATTAGGCCACCACAGACCTTGCAGCATTTCCTCTCCTTCCCAGTGGGTTTCACAGAGCCTCCAGCACACTGGGAGCCACGCTGGGACTGTCCCCATCTGAGTCACCTTTTGGGGTGATCACTACCACGATCCCAGATAGCTGTGGGGGCTGGGGGTGCCTCCCATGTCATGGAGTACCACAGGAAGGCTCCCAGGGCTGACAGCTGGAGCCATGTGGGACAGAGGGGTGCAGGTACCCCACCATGAAGTTTTAGGTGTCTGCTCCTGGGGCAGGGGGAGGCAATCCAGGGAGGGAAGGCACAGGCAACCATCACTGGATGGCTGAGGTGTGACTCCAGGGCTTGGCTGGCTAGGCTGTGGCCATCCCTCCCAGGGGTGTGATCCACACAGGTGGCATGTTATACCAAGCAGGAGCCAGGGCAGCCGAGGTCCAGCCCACCTGTGACATGCTGCCCTAGTTCCTCATCTGGCAGGGCTCGCTGAGCCGCAGGGTGCTGTGTCTCCCCTGCAAAGTACGCTTGGGACCCTCGGGCTCCTGGCAGCACAAAAAAAGAACATTTTTGGCCACATGCCACTTGGCTTCCTCATCAGTGTGTGCACAAACCTTGTCCCAGCATTGCTTCAGGTTCCCTGGGAGAAAAGAGCCTGCTCCAACCCTTGTGAGCCTCACCATCCTCCACCCCAAACCTCCCGCCACCATCAGAAAACCCAGGACAGGGACCAAGGCAGCTCAGAGATGGTGCTTCCCCTTGGAGAAGGGGGAGAGGATGGCTGGAGAACAGCTAAAGGTCTGATGGTTCCCAAGATACAAATTGATGTGCTGGGTACCATCCTACCATGCATTGCCTGGTCCTCAAAAACACACAGGTATATGTGTGTTTTCTCCCCTTTGTTTCTGGGTAAGCACACCAGCAGTCCTATCCCACTCTTGGGAAATCATTTTTTGGGGGTTGCAGGGGGGTTTTTGGGGTGGCTCTGTCCCTCCCTTTGGCTGCATTTGGCTCTGGGCAACATGCTCAGACAGGCTGCACATTCCCCTCTCCCTGCACATGCCTGGCGTGCCTCTGTGTTTCCTCCTGTGCCTGTGTGTGTGTTACCCTGGCAGCTCACAGGTGCTTCCTCTAGTCTCCAGCTCTTTTCCATCTTGCATGCATGTGTTTACTTGTCTTTCGCTGTCTTTCTATCCCTGTTCGTATCTCCATCCATTACAATAACACTCTCTCCCAGCCTCATTTTTCAGCCTGTGACCTTAGTGGCTCAGAATTTCCCCATCCATTGCCTGCTGCCACTGTGTGCATGTGGCTATAGTGAGAGGGGCAGAAGCCCAAAGCTGAGGAGAGGGACTCCATGGGATGCTGCCCCACTCCCAGCTCCACACTCCATGGAGGAGTGGAGAGGGCAACAGGGAACTGAACAGGAAGATGAGAAGGTTGAGGACTCATAGGAGGCTTCTTGCAGGTGGCTCTGATACCCAGTAGAGCTCAGGGGTCTGCTGAGCCCAAATAAATCAACACTCACATGCACTCCATGATGTGCCCCATCACAGATGTCACGGTAGAGCCTTTAGTGCCACTGGCTTGTGGGCGGGCCAGGGCTCAGCCTGCTGGGCACATGTTGCACAGCCACTACAGAGTGGGGACCAGGGGTCTGCATCCTAAATGCCAACAGCCCAATGCCGCAGGGATGGGCACAGCAAGTGACTGCAGCTGCGCCCTTCTCTCTCCGGCTCCCATGGACTATATGGGGAAGAGGTGCTGGGCTCTGCACTGCACTCCACTTTGTGAGCAGTCCCATTCATAACTGCGATGGCATCAGATGGGATTTACCTTTCTGCTAAAGGGCAGGGTCTGGCCCTGAGCTGCCAATCTGCTCTGGAGGAGTCCTTGGCAAGTGCTATGGGGCAAGCAAGATGCCCTACCTGGGTGCAGACGGGGGGGGAAAGCAGAGCAGCCCTGGGCCCCTTGGGACTACCCTGCACGGAGGGAAGAGACGTGGGCTGAGGGCGAACCCCTTGCTCCTGAGCAGAAACCTCAGGGAAGAGCAGGGCACAGATAACCTTCCTGAAGCCTCGTGAGGGGGATGAGCTAGTTCGGGGTGTGTGTGGCTGCATGCCTGGGGAATGGCACATGTGGGAGCATCGCCCCAGGAGCATCATCCCCTGGGAGCATCCCTCCCAAATCCCCAGGAGCGTCTTCCCCTGGGACCGTCCCTCCCAACACCGCGGGAGCATCCCTCGCACCTCTATCCTGTCGATGCGGTCCTGGAGGGTGCGGACAGCCTCCTCCAGCTCCCGCACGGCGGGCGGCTCGTCGGGGGGGTGGCCCATGGTGCCGGGGCGCGGGGCGGCGCGGAGCCCGGCGGCGGCGGGGGGCGCGGCGGCGGCGAGGGGGCTCCGCAGGCCGCCCTCGCAGCGGCTGAGCTTGCCGGTGAGCTCCCGGATGGTCTCCTGGTCCATGCGGATTCGCTCCTTCTGCTCCAGCGCCGTGCGGCGCAGCTGGGCCGCCGCGCTCCGCAGCGCCAGCAGCTCCTCGGGGCCGGCGGCGGGGCCGGTGCCGGTGGCGGGGCACTCGGTGCTCAGCGGGGTGCAGACGAAGCGGCTGAAGAGCGGCGGCCCCCCCCGGCAGGCGCGGCCCGGCGCTGGCCAGAGCCTCGGCGGGGCCGTGCAGCGCTCCCAGACCCTTGTCGGCGGCGGGCAGGAGGGCGGCGGCGGCCGAGTCATTGTCAGCGGCGGCGGCGGGCGCGGCGGTGCCGGCCGGGTGGACGCTGGCGATGATGCAGATGATGGCCCCCAGGAAAGCCAGCATGCCCGCCGCCAGCAGCACCGCCAGAAACTTCAGGGTGGCAGCGGCGTGGGGGGCCCGAGCCCGCGGACGGCGAGAAAAACAAAGCGGGCGGGGATGGAGAGGGGGAAGGACGGACGGAGGGGTGGATAGATGGACGGGCAGCCCGGAAGAAGCCGGCGACGAAGGACGGTACCAGCAGCAGCACCGGCGCCGGGGCCCCGCCGCGCCGCGCCGCGCTTATATGTGCCGGGCGGCACCGCCCGCACCGCACCGCCCCCGCCACCGCCCCCGTCCCGGCCGCGCCCCTCTCACCGACCCCCCTTGCCCCCGAGCATCCCTCGCCGGGATGCAAGGGCGAGGGTCCGGGCGGGGAGAGGCGAGCGGGCAACGAGCGCCGGAGACGGGGAGAGGAGGGGGGGCACCCCGGGGGCACCTGGGGACGGGGCCAGCCCTGGCTCGGGCTTGCTGAAATCAGCTCGGCGGGAGCTTCTGGCGAGAGGATGCTCCTCCGGGACAGCCCAAGGAAGGCTTTTCCCCTGCGAGATGCCTAGGCTGAAAGTAAAGGGCCCCTCGATACTCCGAGGGTTAGTGCCTCGAAATCAGGCATTCCCTGGGAGGGTCTTTTGGGCCTTTCCCTCCTTGCCTTTCTCTTAAAAATTAAACCAGCAACTTTCCAGCTCTTGGAAATGCCTCTCCAGGAGGGCACAGAGCGGCTGTCTTGCTCTCCCACCTCAAACAGGACTGTTGCAGAGAGCCTCACCCTCTGTCATGGGTTGCCTCACCCTCCAACCTGCACACCTGTGCTATCCATTTGGGACATAAATGCCCATTTTTAATCTTCTCCCACCATTGCTCTGTTCTAAACCACTCATAAAGGAGATACTTCAGACAACCACTTTCTTCTTGCTCTGACACCACACTTGCCCATGAGACACAAGCTGTGCCATGCCCTCTCCTGTTCCCCAGGCACATCAGGGCCTTGGCAACACAGCTCAGCCAAGCCAGGAACACAGGAGGGAAAGCGAACAAAATTGATTTCAAGCTCTGCTCAGTAATGGCAGGAAATCCTTTTTAGCCAGCAGGGAATCGGCAGCATGTGTGTTTAAAACAGCTCCAGTGCTGGATATGAAACACCAGTAAAGATTACATCTTCTTTCCCCCCAGGCATATTTGAGTGGATAGCAAGGGAGCCAGAGCTACAAAGACTTCTCAAATTTTGCTTCATGGGAGCAGGGAGGGGAATGCTGCTGGCAGGATACAATCACCTTTTCTCCCCACAGAGTACATTGTGCCCCAGCCCATCAAAATCCTCACCCTGGTGAGGACAACTCATGGTGTTGGGAGGCTGTGAGGAGGAGGAGGAGGAGAGGAAGACAGATGGGGCGGTTAAGGAAGAGAAAGAGATGAAGATAACCATGAGGAGGAAAGGTGGAGGTGGACATGGAGCAAGCTGAGCAGGTGGATGTGAGGAAAGCCCAAGCAACAAGTGTCTGGCCCCGGCAGCAAGGCCAGTGCTTCGGGAGGGTGAGTGCTTGGTGTGCTGGGACAAGTGGGCACTGGTGTGGGATGCAAAGAAAACAGAAGCCTGCACTCCGCAGCATGAAGGGAGGCCACCAGCCTCCAACCTGCCCTTTCCTAGCGGTGGCAGGGGATTGCACCCCCCAGAGTCACCCCCTGCCTGCAGCATGCCCACCCCTGGCAGTGGCCGGGTAGGAGCAGATTCGAAAGGAACCCATGTGAGGGCTGGACCAGCCCACCCTACCCCAGAGTGTGCTGATCTGGGGGGAGGGACAACCTTTGCCTGCATCCCTGTGAAGAAAAGTGCTGTACATCTCTACAAAGCTTTTTGTGTCCCCAATTGGGGGAAATGTTGCTATGCTGGGGACTTTGCACTGTCCTGGACATCCAAATTTTATTGCCAAAGGCTGTAGGATTGTGGTGGCAAGGTTTATACCTCTGTCGGGTGCCGCTGTGGTGGTGAGTGGGGTGAGTGAGCCCCTCTGCACCAGCCCTGACCCACTCACCCATGCTGGGATGTGGAAGAGTGGGGTATCACAGCAGGGCACGGCTCACTGCTCCTGGGGTCCTGACCTCTCCCTCAGCAGGGACCACAACTTCTTCCTGGAGACAAAAGAGGTGGCAAAAATAGATTTTCACAGGGGGTGATGACTCAGACTGGTGAGTAGCCAGAGCAACCTCCCTGTCCCATGAATAACAATTCAGAGGTGCTGGATGGGCAAGGACACAGTGCTGTTGAAACCCTGCCCTCCAGCAGGTGACAGGCTGGAGGAAGGCAATGCGAGGCTTTGGGGAGCCCTGTTTTGAATGGAATTGGTGACAGAAGCTGGATTTAACAAGAACTCATGGATTCAGCCCATAGGGATGGGGAGCGAGCTACTAAGGGATTTTGTTCCATCTAATTAAGTCTGGGGCTGGCAGCTGTTCCCAAGGGGTGGCAGCCGACAGGGCAAGGCAGAACAAGGGGCTGCCCTGCTGTGGCCCCTGTGTGAGAGGGAGATTTAGGATGGACTGCTGGCATGAGGGAAAGGACACCTGATGCTCTGAGGCTGCCCCCATCCAACCCTCCTTGCAGGAACAAGGCAGCCCCACCCCAGTCAGAGTGAAATCCTGGCCCATTCAGGATGCTCAGGTCAGCAAAGTGGTGGGTGTGAGGAAAGGGGCGAGCCTTTTCCCACGGGAGGGTAACCTCATGCCTCTGGGGTGGGGGATTCCCCCCCAGGGCCACCCTAATGACACAAAAGGGCTCTTCTGCCACTGCCACTCCGTGGACCCAGCTCCTGTCTCCTTAGACCAGGAGCCTTCAGTCCATCTTGCCTGGGGATCTGCAGACTCCATATAGTATGGAAATCCTGACTTCTCTCATTTCCAGGTCTCTCAGCCCTGCAGATGTGACTCGCATCACCTTGCCCTTGTTACATGGCCACACTGGTGCAGGACCTTGTTGGATGTGTCCAGCCTTCGTCCTACTCCAGAAAATATGGGTCAGAGGTGGCTTCCTTGGCTGTTCTAGAATCCAGCCAAAAGCCCACTGGCCTCTGAACAGAACCAGGGTGCAGGGACAAGGGAGGGAGTGCCAGCCTCACGGGCGTTTTGGCACGCAGTAGAGGCAAGGTGAGCCTAGTGTTGTGACATAAATAGCACACCTTGGCTGTGCTTGGCTTTGGTGGGCAGTGTTCCCTGCTCCCAGCCAGCCAAGACACGTCACCACCGGAGAGGGCTCTCCTGTGGCTTTCCAAACCTCAGACACTGAAGAGGTATCTAAAGCAACTCTCCCCCAGGAAGCCCTAGCTCAGCCCTATCTCTCCCATTCAGGGGAGGCCAGATCACACCATTCCAAAGGGCAGCCCTGAGGGTATTTTGGTTGGAGCCAGCTGGTGACAGCCCACAGCTGAGCCCAAACACTGCCCTTTCCCAGCACCCAGAAGTGCTACCTTCCTGCTCTTCTCTCCCACCTGCTTGAAAAGCATTGCTGCCCAAAGCCTGTCTGCTTGCCCTATCGCATCTCCACCACCAGCACTTCCCCACTTGAAGGTTTGCTGTAGCCTTTTTATGCAGCTGCTGTGGGCTGGAGGTTAATGAAGTGAATGTGGGGCTTCAATTACACACAGGGAGAGTATTTTTCACCATATTTCTTAGATTAGCATGTCATACATTGTGCTTAAGCACACAGTTTGGAAAAGCCTAAAGTATTTTTTAGCCACCAAGTGCTAGGTTGTTCTTGGATCTAATTCCATTTTTAAAAGAAAAGGATGTGGGACACCCATGGGAGATTCTCCAAAGCATTTTGGAAGCAGGAGTTCGGGTTCCACTTGCTACAGCTTGGCCTTCGTGAAGTGCTCCCTATTCCCTTTACATTCCAGAATTCTCTTGACTTTTGTCAGAGCTTCTCTGTGTTCAGAAATGTCCAAAGACTCAGAGCAGGACTGATGCACAGTGCCCAGGAAGGTACCAAGTGTGTTTGTGTTTGACTGCAGAGCTGATCCCTGCTGGCTCAGGGCAGCTGTTTCAGCACCCCTGCTCCCCACTCCACAGGTCACAGCCCACCCAAGGAAACAATAACAGGGTTTGGAATGTAACAATTTATTGGGGTTAATTTTTTGTTTTAATTTTTAACTCCCCATTTCTGGCATTGATACAATATTCAAGAGCAGCAGAAAGAACAAAATGTACAAGAATACAAGAGTAATTAGCACAACCCCCACCCCCAAACCTGGAGCAAACCATTTTCTTGTGGGAAGCACCAAGGGAAGGGGTGATTCAATCACCCCTCCAATGGCTATGCCTCCCACCCATCCGCTCTAGACAGAGTTTAGCCAGCTGGGAACTGGATTAAAAAACAAAACAAAACAAACACTATATTTAAAATGAAAATTGCAAGACAAAAAAATAATATATAGATATACAATTCATCCGTGCACAATCCTTAAATGCATTTTTTTCAAAATAAAAAAAATTACAAGATACATATTTAGGTTTATCTTAAATTAAAAAAACTTACCACCTTCACTCTGTATGCCAAGTGAGGGGAAATGAAGAGAGAAATGGGTTGCACCAGAACTATCAGCACTCTTATGAGTCAGGGCTGACCTTCTCCAAGAGAAAGGACAGGGCTCTGATGCTGCCAAAGCTCAAGCACAGGCAGAATCTGAAGCACCCAAGTACCACAGAACTCAGTGGGGTTACTCGCCTACTCCAAGTTCAGTGTTTGCAGGAATCTGCAGGAGTTGAGCCTAAACTTGGCACAGGGGAAGGTGAAAGGAAGGAACAGATGAGGCAGGCCCCTGTCCTTCACCACCAGCAGACAACTTTCTATGCAAAAAGAAAACAAACAGGGGAAAAAAATCCCAAAATAGAGAGTCTCCTCTATTCTCTGGGAGCATAAAGGCTTAATGGCAGAGGAGAGAAGAGGAGGGAGGACAGCACACAAAGTTGATTTGCTTGGGGGAGGCGCAGGCATGACAACTCTTTTCTAAAAAAAGTCATCACAATGATTAATTTTTTTGTTCCATTTGAGAACTTGACCTAAGACTTTGTCCCCCTTTGCAGCTGGGGGCCAGAAGCAGCAGGCTCCTTCCAGACAGCTGAAGAGCAACCAACCTGAAGAGCAGCTGGGGGGCTG